AAAGAACACTCTCCTCTAGGACTGCCCCAAATGCACAACCAATTTCAAACATTAATGACACAGGTTTTGAAGACCCTTCTAATCAATACAGTCTCTTTTTCATCCCTGAATTTTGTTGGCTGTTGAGAAACAAAGGACAACAGCAATTTTCAAACTCAATATAAAGACATTTTCAATTGTGAAACCAACAGCTGGATGAGGAGAACAGGTCAGTGATGCTAAAGACAATAAATCACGTGGGAGGAGAGAAAGCTCTGAGAAAATTCAAGCAGCATGTCCCTAAGAATCTCTAACCATATCAACAGGGTTAACACAATCACTATTAAAACAAACAAAACCCCCACACAAACAATAAAAACAAACCAAAACAACAAAAAAACCAACAACCAGGCAATAGCACTTTGCTCTCATATGCTATAGATACTAAATGTAACTATCAAGCCAAAGCTCAGAATAAGGAACACAGCATTTAAAGCAGGATCTGGATCCTGTCGCTTACTTGAGTAAGAAGTATTTCAAAGTGGCATAATGGAGATAAAGACACCAAGAAAGCACTACGCTTTCTGAGACAACGGCAGCCAAAAGATAAGCTGGAGCACAGCCTTTTGTACTCTCTATTCCAAGCTGCTGCAGGTGAGAAGTATATTCTCTCCTCGCAGCTTTCGTTACTATCAAAAAGTGCACAAATTACAAAGCAAGACACACACCTGGCCATGTATTCATATGCGTGAAGATTTCATGAAAAAGATAAAAGGAGAAAAGAGAGGGAGATAATTGCAGCTGACAAAACAATGCTCCAGACTGCAAAAACCTGTTGTATTTAAGGAAACAAAACTCTTTTGGCTTTGCAGGGACATCTAGCGGCAAATGTCATGCTTTGCATTCCTGGTGACGACTGTGAAACAGACAGCAGAGATTTCATTACTTCACCAGAGCTCTTTCCTCGAAAACACAAAGAGCAATTTGTAATATTTAACCTATTCACATGCAAAAGAGTTTTTTTCTTGTTTTGGGGTTCTTTTCCCCACATCACAAAATAATTTCTGGCAGAAAACTGCCAATAGTCAACAACATTTAGGGATACAAATACTTTAGGTATATTTTCAACCAGAATGTCTTCTGTGCTAATGGCTAACAGTAGTTGCTCACAGTCAGTGAACAGGCCTTAAATAATCTTCAAAATTACACAAAGACTACACCCCTAATTTTTGAGAAATACTTCAAAAGAACACTAGGTTCTTCTCTTGGAGATGCGTTCAAGAAGTGGAGAAACATAAAACATACTTTAAAGAAACCAAACCCACCACCATATCTAAACTTAATTCTACACTTACTTATTTGTCAAATTTTATCAAGCTGCCAAACTGCAAACTTGTATCAGTCATCCCAAATTCATACTATGAAACCTTAACATCATTTGCCACAGGTATAAATACAAAGGCATTGGTGCAGAGTCCTGAAACCTAGGAAATGCACACTCTATAGGTAAAATTGTAATACTGGAGAATAGCTAAGTGAAGTAAATAAATTACATTTCCAAGAATCACCTTTGTTTTGCCTTTCTTCTCCAATTATTTCTCCTCCTACAGAGAGAAACACTGGCTGAATGACCTTATAGACATCTCTCCTCTTTATAGCTGCACATCATGAAGCGCTTTTTCCTTTGCAAGATTGTTCAGCTATATTACTTTAACTATTTCTTTGCTACGAGCTCTTAAGAGTGAGAATACTTGCATTTAGAGAAAAATATGATATATCAATATGATTTTTTTTCTTTAGATGAATTTTTATGGCATTTTGTTACAACAGCAAGGCTTCCTTCTTGTTCGCCTGGCATAACCAAATGACACGAGTGCACCACATCTTGGTCACTCCCATGAGTGCCATACATAACTCTTTTCCATGCCACACTTAAAACACACAAATTTATTGTGTTTGAACACAGTTTTAAAAAGCTAGATGATACAATGAATATAATTTTGCAATTAATTAAAAACCTGACAGTATTTAGCCTTGTGCCAAGTTTTGCTCAAGCAGTTCTCTGCCTGCTTCTGTCACAACTCCAGACCTCTTTATTTGCTCTTTCTTTTTTTCTAAGCCAATTAGCCAAGATTTTCTGAAACAATTAACTATTTGCCTGAAAGAGCAAAAATTTCAAGGAAAGCACAGCCTCATTGAAGCAACTCTTCAAACCCCACCCCTTCTCAAGTCTACAGTAAGACCAGATAATGATCTAAAGCAGAAGTGTAATCCAACACAAGAGCGCACTGTCACCAGGAACGGGAGGGTTCCACCCCTCCTTTCCTTGTCCCTATTCCTGTGTTTGTCATTCATCAGACCCCTTCATGAACTGCTTTAACTCAAGAAGCCAACACACTCGAACAAGCAGAAGACACTCAATAGTTCTTCTGTGAGGTCAGTGAGTCACACGAGCTCATGGAAAAATCCAGCGAGCGACATCATCAGTGAAAGCGGGCAACTGGTACGGACTAGGGGAAAGGAACAAAGAGCCAAGGAAACAGACAGGAGGAGGAGCGAGCCTTTCTCTTTCAGGAGCAGAGAGCTGGCACAGCTCAGATGTTCACAAAATCGCAGCCTTGAACTAGATACCCAGATTTTACACAGTCACAATTCAGTGAAACAAACCCTATCTTAAACAATTATGCAACACACTTAGATCAGAATTCCCACGAACATCAAGTGTGCAACAAAAAAACCCCAACCCCCTTCTTTATAATTTGAGAAATGTGACAGCACACCACATTTCACTTTAACAGTCCATACTCTACTGATGTGCCATCAGAGACCTTCCAACAGTCAAAGCAATCACCTTAAAAAAAAACTAGGGAGGCAAAACCAAAGAGAACAGGAAATCCTTTGTTCTAGAGAGTTCCACAACCTAGACACTGCTCAGATGTTACTGCACAGAATCCACCGAAAAGAAACACTTAACACTTTTGTGCACCTGAGTGCAGAAATACTGGAGAATGTCTGTATGCCAGCTGCATTACAGAAGACACCTCTGTAAGAAGTCTCAGGCAAGCTACTACCACTCCCTCCACAACAGTGTTGAAGGTAAAAGTTTCAACAACAATTAACATCCATTATTGCAGTGTTCATCCCTACACACGGCACATGGTACCACCCTCTCAGTTTCTGTCTTACACTACAGATCTGGTCACTTATCAGGTGAAAAACAACAAACAAGGTTCTCTCTTAACTCAGGGTTAAAATTTGTGCTTTAGCCAAGTCAAACTGACAGTATTTACTGATCAAATTGAATTCTGAGTGGGAGCTACACCTGGTAAATTGAGCTGTATTCAGGAGCAGCCAGTCTCCACACACCATGTATGTTTTCCAGTTTTTTCATGGCAAGAAACCGTCAAACACACATTAACTTTCACTTACTAAAATCTCATTTAAAGTTCTACTCGGGCATAAAAGTGGATGCTTTTTGCAAATACAGCTCTAGTCCACAGCCAAAACTCTTCTGAAAAACGATTTCCTTTTCATATTGACTCCAAAATTGTGCTGTTCATGGAGGGCATAGGTTTCACATTGGCATACATATCCCACACCTCCTGTAGGCAGAAGCGTGAAAAGCATGATCTTATAGTGCATGGACGAAGACTGAGTGAGAGGCCAAGCAAGCTGCTTAAGTCACTGTAACCTTTTTGCTGTTTTGTGTTTTTTTTTTTTTTTCTTTTTTTTTTTACTTATAGACATAGGAGCTCGGTCAGAGGAATAACACTAACACGGTTAACACACATCCAGAAGCACAGAAAAATAACATTTTTCCTCACAGTGAACGTGGCTGAGGATGGCTGGTGGACAGCGAAGCAGACAAGCGTAAACACTTGAGAGCCTGCAGCGAGCGGGCTCCTCCTGCCCCTGAAGCGTGCCAGGGGATGGCGAACGCGGCAGGCCCCGGAGGCCGCAGCAGGCTGTTCCGGAGCTGGAGCAGCGGGCACAGAGCGGCGCTGGGCTCTCCGGCCCCGCCTGCGCCCTCAGCATCGGGCCGGGCCGGAGGAACGAGCGGGTCCGGGCCGAGGCCAAGGGGCCTCCCCGCCCGCCGAGAGCTGCGACCCCACGCACGCAGGAGGGCCGCGGTCAGCCCAGCCCCCTGGAGAGCCCGGCTCCCCCCTTACAGCCCGGTCCTCCGCACACCCCGGCTGCCCCTCGCACAGCGGGACCCCCGCCCACAGCCCCGCCAGGCGCGGCTGCCGCCGGCCCGAGCGATTTAAAAATGGCGCCTCTCACCTCCCGCCGGCCGCGCCGCCCGCCGGGACCCGCGGCGCGCGGGGCACGCTGGGAGTGTTGCCGGGGAGACGGGCGGGCTCCGTCATGGCGGGGCTGCCCTCAGGGCGCCGTGGGTGCGCAGGGGCGGCACCGGACAGAGACCGGCTGCTGGGGGCGGCTGAAATACTGTATTCTTCTCGTAAACATCCTCATTTTCCCTCTAAAATCTCTTTGAATGAAGCAAGAGATTGAACGTCCTGATCGGTATTGGCATTCCTCTAGTGGAATGATTAAAATTGTTTTCAAGTGGTGTATTAGAAGGTGGGTGTTGGTGATGACACACGCACATCCACAAAGAAAAAGTGACAAAAAACCACCAAACCCCAAGGCAAATGTCACGGGAGATTCCAGCTGCAGTCCCTCCCGGAGGTGGCTGCGGGCTAATGAAGTGTTTAAATCCGTGACTGGCGCGGCGCAGTGGCGGCGGCTCCGCTCTCCCGGGTCAGCCCGGCCGGCCGGGCCGGGCCGAGCCGCCTTACCTGTGAAATCAGCGTACACCCACAGGGAAATAAACGACACCACCAGACTCTGCAAGGAATTAAAAATTAATTTTTATTCAAAACAAATTCTGATTTAAAAGATGAACATTAAAAGCCATGGATCCAAACAGTTTTACACTGCAAAGAAATCTTTCTAGAAAGTGTCATGAAGTTGCACTCTCATTTTCTGTATCCAATTTGCTCATTTGCTCTCTTTTTTCTTTTCTTTTTTTTTTTTTTTTTTTCACTATCAGCTCTACAAATATTAACTAAGACCAAACAGAAGCCTTTCTCCCTTTTACGTCTGCATTAACACAAATGGTAGAATGGCACAGATTTTTACTTTGGTTCTATTAGTATCTGTTCATAGCAGGATTACGTAGCTATAATCTATTGGAAACAATTCATTTACATGAGAAACATGACACCAAGGATCTAGATCACTCCGTGTGAGCTCTGTGGCAGATACAGCAAAAAGCTACAACATCTAAAATTATTTAACTAAAATCCACAGGGTTGGGTGTTTCTTGCCAGCTAATTCAGGTATAATTATTGTGTAAGTATTTCCAATTTGTAATCTTTTTCTAAGAGGCTAACACAATGGTGGAAATTGTGTTACTTTATTTTTGCCTCCACGTTTTTCACATAGATCAGAGAAGGGTTTCCTTCCGAGACCCGCTGAGTCAGATAATTGCAGTTACTCACTGATGGCAGTGCTTCTGAAGTGTGGGTGCTAATGGGGCTCACAGTGACCATCCTGCCTCTGCTGGCCTTCAGAGGAGAGCTGCTCTAGTGACTCAGATGGGAATCTTGCAGAGTACCCAGAAAGAGAGAAAAAGCAAGAATCAAGGTGGACTTCAAGGGCACAAGGAGGAAATGGCTGAAGGAAGGAGGAATAAAAAGCAGAACTTGTAGAAGTGGGGCTAATGCACACAGCAAAAAGAGATGAGAGGGTCAGTCAAGAGAGATCTGGACAGCAAGAGGCAGAAACAGCTAGAAAATTAAGACTTTAAATGCTGTTAGACAAATATGGGGGGAAAATGAGGGAGAAGTAAATGTGAAGCATCCTGTTGGGGAGAGAGGGGAACCACATACTGGAGTTGGTTTGTTTGATTTCTTTTTAACTCAGTACATAAAGGAAACACGTATAACACCGTTACATAAAAAAAGGACTATTCCAACAGTGACAAACTCCCCTTTTTGAAACATCTCCCACAACACAGGCAGGTACTTTCTTTTGTAAAAATAGAAATTTATGCAGCTACAGGTGTCACTAGTTTATTTTTTTAAAAGTCTTTTTAAGGGACACTTGAAGTTCACTGCGGCTTGAGTAAAAGTAAAGAGATTTCATTTAGAGATCTTGCAGATTTTGATCAACAGTATTAGAGATTGTTTGTGACTCTAACTATCATATTATATTAGTTCTGGGTAGATCAACATTTCACATAACAGCAAGGTTCGTCCTCACACAAAGAAAGCAATAAAACATAGAGAGCTGTAAAATACATAGAGAAGCCCAGGAAAATATTTCAATCCATTTTGCAGATACAGTCTTTGGAGGAGTATACTGACTAAGTATGGTCAGAAGAAGTGTTGAGTTTGGAAGCTCATTTAGACTTCTTTGCTGCCTTAGTTGAGCAAGCTGAAAATAGTTGTTAGATTAGACAGATCCTCAAGCTCCTGTAGCCCAGGGGCATATCTGTAGAGAAGGTTTTGTTGCTGTGTACACATGCTGCTGGTCATACCTGCAGTTTAATCCATGCTTAGTCTATGTCACCTTGACCTGAATCCAGCCTGGCAGGATGGAGGCCAAGTGGGGAATTAGTGTTGGGAGTACAAGCTCTGCTCAGCATCTCAGTCAGCAGGTCCTGAAAGCATCCAAATAGCTTCACCGTCCCATACAATCGTGGCAGAGATGTCTGTGACTAAGTAGTGTGCAATTTGTGGTAGAGACTTAAAACCATACACTGTGGTGGGTAGATTGCCTGAGAAAATGAATATTTTTGGCATTAAAAAGTCAAAAGACAGAATTGCTTTTAAGTGCCATAGTGCTATAATGAATCTTGCCCAGTTAAACTCAGAGGGGTTTTAACCATTAAGCTCAGTGGGACCAGAGTACAATTTTTAGCATGGAGCACATCAGTGGATAAAAAGCCTAAAGCAGTTTCTTGAGCTATTTCTCAGACAGATGGGTTTTATGGGACTGCTGACCACACGAGCATTGTGTTCAGCCTGGATGTACACTATCTTGTACTGCTCTGTCTTTATCACCAAGTACCTATAACTACAGAGGAAACAGATGTTCTCCTGACCAGTACCAACTCATTAAAATGGTATTCAAAAGTAAAATATAAAGGGAATTTTTTAGGCTACAAGGGTTTTTCTCCCATGTATATTGTTTTCATATATTATCGGCTTCAGTCCTGACTGTGCTTTCATTTCCATTGGATTGATTCCATTCTAGCCACAATAACTAAAGAGTTTTTTCCAAATTTTCACACACAGGTGGGTAGAACCACACTCAGCAGCTGAAGGGATCATGACTACATCCAATGCAAGCTCAGTTCCTAAAGTTTCTGTCAAATGCATGTCTGTGCTTCTTTCAGAAGCTCAGCACTGGCCAGCTTCAACCTTATCCTAAGGTGTAAGTTATCATAGAGTCATGGAATATGCTGACTTGGAAGACACTCTTCAGGTCATTGAGTCCTACTTCTGGCCCTGCACAGGACACCTTAAGAGTCACACAGTGTGCCTGAGAGGGTTGTCCAGACCTTTTGTGAGCTCTGACAGTCTTGGTGGTGTGACCACTTCCCTGAAGAGCCCCTTCCAGTCCCAACCACCCTCTGAATAAAAAAGTGTTTTCCTGATATCCTACTTAAACCTGCCCTGACTCAATTTCATGCCATTTCCTCAAGTCCTGTTGCTGGTCATGAGACTGAAGCCTCTTCTCCAGGCTGAACAGACCAAGCGACCTCAGCCAGTCCTCATAAGGTTGTCCTTCCAGCCTCTTCACCATCCTAGTGTCCCTTCTTTGGAGGGTCTCTAACAGTTTAATGTCTGTTTTATATTGTGGCACCCAGAACTGTCCCCAGCACTCAAGGTGAGGCCGCCCTGGTGCAGAGCAGAGGGGACAATCTCCTCCCTTGCCCAGCTGGTGATGCTGTGCCTGATTCCCCCAGGACACCCCAGGCTGTCTGGTGCCTCCTGGCTGCCAGGGCACTGCTGGCTCGTGTTCAGCTTGCCATCCACCAGGAGCCCCAGGTCTCTTTCTGCAATGCTGCCTCTCGTTCCCCATTCTATACACACAAGCAGGACTGCCCTGCCCCAGGGGCACAGTCTGGTGCTTTCCCTCGTTAAGCTTCATTTGGTTGGTGATCGCCCATCTCTAATTTGTTGTGATCTCTCTGCAGGATCTCTCTGCCCTCGAAAGAGCCAACAGCTCCTCCCAATTTAGTGTCATTTGCCAACTTATTTAATATTCCTTTGAGTCCTGCATCCAAGATGTTAGTTAGGTTGAAGAGAACTGGGCAGGGGAGGAAGTCCTGCAGAACTCCACAAGTGACTTGCACCAGCCTGTCCAGTAGTTCAGCCTCTCCACTCCTGTCTGAATCTAGTCAGCTACACATAAAAGGTGACATAGCATTGATCCACTAGGCAAAGTCACAAAACGAATGAGTTGTCACCTAAGTCACAGTCCAAACAGGAATTGAAGAGGATACAGTGTGGGAATTTCTCCTTTCAATTACATCAATGCAGTGCCAGTTGCTAGGGGAGGCAGAACCTGCCGTTGGACTGCTGCACCTTCTGCAGCAGCACAAGCAGAGAAATAAGCACAGACATTCAGGAAGAATTTATCACTAAGTTTATAAACTGCTCTGCTAGCACTGCCTCAGCCAGCTAGTTCAGAGCAGTTCTGGATGTTGCAAATGAGTTGCAGCATAACAGCAGATGAAGTCTTGGGTGCCTTCATCTAGTTTCTGGCAGTCACACAGCTTTGGATCTTGGAGTTATTTTGGGGCACCAACACAAAGTATCTTCAGAGTACACGGCTGGTAAGGGTTATTTGTTTCATACAGTGATCTCTATGACTGCACAGTGGCTGCCTCTTGGTGACAAGTGACACTTCTCTTTTTGTGCTGTTAAACAAAACTGTTGTATTTTACTCTCTGCCTTTCTAATTTTGGGTGTTAAAGCAGTTACCAGGGCGTGCTATGCAGTCTCCAAAGCCAGAGTTTTGAGCAACTGAGAGAACTGATGGTGAGATGCATTTTTTTTAATGTCTGGTTTGCCTGGTTAGCAGGGATTATTCAGCCCTTGTCAGAAATGGGCATAATCACTAGTGGTTGTGAGAAAAGCTGCTGTTCGGGGATGGAGCTAGCCTTAATATAGAACAAGTTCCAGGAACCCATGTGAAACTCAGCATGACAAGATCTTGGAAAGTCTGCAGGTGACACAGCAGCCCTGTGCCATTTCATCAAATAGGAGAAAATAGGAAGTACAACGTGATTGCAAAGCACTGTTTGGCACTGTTATGGCACTGTTTCTGCTCTATTCTTGGAATAAAAACAACATCATTCCCAGTGGCTGCCAGTGCCAGCTACAAGACCTGCTTTGTAAAGGCAAACATTTTGCTTTATGTCAGCTGCGTTGTTTTTGGGGTTTTTTTGCACATGTGACCAAGGTTTCTGACAATAACATAAAAATACTTCTTAAACTTCTAATTCTAAGTTTTTAAAAAAAAAAAAATCCAAAGTGCAGCCACTTGGCACAATAGCACAACATTTGCATGGCAAATTTCACACAAGCTTTAGATAAAAGCAATGATGATACCTAGGTTAATGTTTGCAGTTTTGCCACGTCACAACTGTAAGTGAAACTCAACAGGTTTTGGTCAAAATTGCAGCGGAGCAGAATGCTCAGATTTGTCAGTATATTAAAACTGGGTCTTGTGCTCAATGAGTTAACTTTACCACTGTCAATTGAATAATTTGTTACTGAGAAAGGAAAATCAATAGGGGTTTGATTGATCAGACAAAGTTTAAGAGACAATATTCATCATCAAATAAATGTAAATATTTTTATTTTAAAAAATGTTAATGGCACCTTAGAGGCAGTCATGACTACACAACCAAATATACAGAAATTACATTTTCATAGTTGAGTCTTTCCACAGTGCTGCACAAAATGGAAATACTATGAGAAACATTGCAGGTCACACACCAAGACAATTAACTTTACTCAATAAAAGCAGACAATTTTTGGTACACCTTGATACTACCAGACCCAGGTTCCCTGGGTAAAAAGGAAAGGTGGCTTTGTGCAAAACTTTCGAACAACAGTACAACTTAATATGCTAAACGTACAGCAAATCAACCATACAGGACAGTTTGACTTGGCCTCATGCAGTCCTTATATACAGCATCATCTCAGCTGGCTTTTTCAGGGAAAATAAGCAATTTCATTGACTAAATAAAACTTTTCTTAGTCTTTCACTGTTGCAATGTAAAATTGTCTGATACTTTGTGCACGATTAGCATCAGAGACCATTCCAACTTTATCTGAAAGCAAGCCCTTTATAATCTCCTGTAGTAAAAGGCCATGTTCTGGCATGATGGTGAATGAAGAAAGCAGATATATATTTGGTTGATTAAAAATAGTGGAGAATAAATTTGCCTGATTGCTAGTCCTAGATGGACTTTCAGAAGAGATTAAATTCTGCAATTGAAATTAAAGTGTTTAGTTACATTAATCTGTTTCTCTTCTGTTGCATCATTGAATCCAGCAGTAAAATGTCTCAGTCATAGTGGAAAGGGACTTGGTTTCCCAAAACAAAAACAAGAAAATTGGTTCTCATACCTTCTGAATGAATTACAAGCTTCTGTGTTTTCTTGTTTTGTTCCTAAATTTCTTGTTCAATGATTTTGATTTCAGAAAGCACTAGTTATTATTATGCACTTAACTTTGTATCAAACATAAGCCTGAACTAATTCAACTTCAAATGTTGGACTTCTCGTTTATTATGCCATTCAGTAGCTAATAATTAGCTGGCAACCCTTATCATTGCAAAACTGAATTTTATGCTTACACTGGATTTGTCTAGCTTCAACTCCTGGTGAATGGATCAGGTATCTTTCCTACAGCAAATTGTCTTCACCTTTTGCATTGCTATTCCCCAGATAAGCAGTCATTATTTGTTCACAGGAAACCACTGGCTTTTAAATACCCTTCCTGGAGTGCAGACATCAGATCTATACTGACAGATGTCCTGCAGCAGAGGCAGTGCATAACACAAACATTTTGATATTAAACTAAAATGCAGTGAAATTTTTTAGTGCCTCTCTAAGAATTCAGAGCAAATAGACATCACAGGAGTGCAATACGGTGAGAAGTTGCATGAATGCATATAATGTAAAGCAGAAAGAAGAAAGAATTTAAACTGGGTCTCGATCAGTCCTGCCAATCACTAACTGAACTTTCAACAATAATGGAGTTGAAGCTAGCAGAGGGATCCATTAGACAATTTTTAGAGGAAACCTCATGTTGTCCTGAATGCTGAAACAGGAGAAATCAGGAAAATTGTGCTAACTTTCATAAGAAACTAAATCTCCAGAAACCTCCAAACAAAAAGCTGCCAAAAGCCTATAGAACAGGCAATAACAACTTATTGAAGGGCTTTTCCATCAGAGAACTACTACCAAAGTGAAATGAAATACTTGCCTGCCAGGCAGCACCAAGCAGAAAAGACACTGTCTGGCAACTTTTTGTTGAGTGGGAGTGTTAGAGGCTCATGATGAGTAGGTGTAAAGAGTATCCTAAGAATGCCTGATGTGTTGTATGAAAATATAAAAGCAAATGGTATCCTGACAGAACATGGTTAATTGGTTGAGAAGCTGAACAGAGTTCTCATTAGGAGAACTGCAGTTCTTTGGATTTGCCTAGGCATACTTTCACAGGAAGCAGAGCTCAGACTGCAGGCCAGATACACACACTAATATGTAAAATATACAATCCCAGCCTAAAGGGAGAAGTGATGCTAATGGCAGAGGCATCAGCCCAGGCTAACTTAGGCACCAGCCTTCTCTTGATCCCGAGTATGGGCACAGCTGGCTAGCTTGTCCCACCACATGCTGGGGCTGTTTGTTCCCTCTAGGAAAAACTCTGGAAGAACTTTTCTACATTGAAGTTGTCCCAACAATCTGCAGAGAGTCTGCCTGGAGCCCATTTTTAGGGACAGCTGATGATCACTGAAACATGAAGAAAAAGGCTCATCTCCCTTAAAATCCCAGCTTCACACTCATGAGGCCTTTTTACCAGCCCTTTAAGTCTCTAGATGTGGAGAACCATCTACCTCTTTTGCCAGGTTCTTCTTCCAGTCTAGTGAGCTAACATGGCATATGGAAGACGTCACCACATACCTGTAGTTAGCACACGGCAGGAAATATGACAGTGAAGGCAGGATGGGTGACCTCCCTCCTTGGGTAGCCTTCCATGTGGCAGAGCATCTGGCACTACAGTCTCACTCTGTGCAAAACTACAACAGTTTCACTCAAAAGCAGGCTTTTGCTCTTCACTTAACATTTTTTATTATTTTCTTGATGTGTGTCACAACCTTCAGTGATTTAAACCCAGCAGAGAAAATAACCTTGAGAAGAGATGCAGCCATTCACCAATTAGGTTTAGTTTACATAACTAGCATTATGCAGCCTTTATAGCTTTTTCTGTGTCCTCTGCCACATGTACAGCCAATATGGAAGTGCAAGACCTTCCTGTTTCCAATTTAGAATTTAGGCCCTGTCAGATTCTGTCAAGACAGTGAGCAATCTTTTGTAGAGACATAAATTTTAGATTCTACTTTCATTTTGCACTGAGGTTATCTTCCAGAGTTGTAACAAGATGCCCTTGGAGCAGAAGTCTTCACATTCCCAGGTGTGAAGGGAATGTGAATTACCACACCAACATCCTTTGTAACCTTTTTCTTCCTGCCTATCTTTGAGGCTGCCTGATGTAACATTTCAACTACATAAAATAGCAATGGGAGGATTATATAAATGTATAATCATGCAATAGGCAAAGGAATTTTTTCTTATGTAAACATTATTAACACATGGTATTCCTTTCTTGCACATCTACCTTTCTGAACCCATTTAACAAAATGCTAAACTATTTTCTCAAGAGGCCAATGCAGAAGCTGGCTGTGCAAGCTGAAGAGAAGAATGGAGATTATAATAGAGATGGCAAGAAAACGCCATGAAGAGTCACAGCACTCTTAGGATCAGAACCAGTTGCTGGTCTTGTTTGGGCTCTTGTTTGTTTGGTTTTGGTTTCCACTCCACTTCCCATTTAAGATGAGGTAGGGCTGGTTAAGATAACATGGGTGTGCCTGATCTGATCCATTTCCAGTGACTGCAAACCAGCACAGTCCTTCCTGATTCGCTGTGCAAAGATTTAGGACATATAAAGAATTCTTTAAATATTTGTAAGTATTTTAATAGAATTTTCTAAACATTGAGTTATGTCATTATTTATTAAGTTAATTCTGTACTTTCCTTAGTTCCTGAAGCCACAAATAGTAACTATTCACTGTTCATCTGACTGTAGTAAAATGTCAGAGTTCTTCCCTGCCTTCCCTTCATCCACTCCCATTCCTCAGAAAAAGATCTTTACAAATTCTACACCAACTATTGCACTTGATTAAAAAGAAATACACAAATCAAACTGTGCCCTCCCTCCCTCCCATAATACCAGCATAAAAAATACTGCAACTGAAAAGAAAATATGTAATGACAATTATTTTCACAGTTACTAACACTGAACATCAAATAATCAGAGACACTGTATTTTCACTTAATGGAGAGTGGAGAAGAATTCTGGTTGTGGTGGTTTGTTTTGTGGGTTTTTTTGTTTGTTTGTTTATTTTTAATAAAGGTCTTGTTTTGCATCATGGCTGAAAGCCAAGCTGATTTCAGGGAAATTTTTTGCAGTTATTGAATCAAGCAAAATAAATTCCAGCGGGAAAATAAACCCAACCCTGTCTCCTAATAGTGATACTGCATGTTAATACATTATTTTCAGGAATGTTTGTTGAGAGTGCCTATTGATCGTATATTTACAGAAGTTTAACTCCCTGCTCCCTCTAAGAAGCTGTTCCCTCATGTTTCTGCCACATTCTTTAATCTGACAGAAGAAAGAAATCCACTGTACCCAGGGTCCCACCACCTCTATGCTTTGCGTTCAGTCAGAACACCCCAACAATTCAGTGCTAACACAGGCTAACCTCAATGCTGCTGCTCCAGTACTTCTTTCTGCTTGCAGGTTGCAGGGCTTGAACAAGTGAGTGCTTTGGTGTGGACGATAACTTACCTACCAGTTACTTGCTTCTTAACTCCTTTACAAAGTTGCCTGGGGATCTTATAATTCATTTCAGGCCATCTTTGGAAGTCTTATGCCACAGGTATGTGTTTCCTGAATGGGATAAGGACCAGTGCCAGGACAGAACAACTGCTAACTGTGGTCAATAGTCATCACTGGTCTCATTTACAAACAATAAACTCTGTGCAAAAAGTTACTAGCAGAAGCATCAAGTTTTGTTAGTCACGAAAACTAAAAATCCCATGTTATGATACCCATTAACTTAGAACTATCAATACACATGACTGCATAGTTTGGCTTGTCACTCTAGTTGGATTCAGAGAGAAAATTAACTATCAGTCTAGCAGAGCTGATACACATTATGGCACTCCCTCTTGATCACACTCTTTGCACTCCAGCCTAGTAAAAAGCACACCTGACACTTGCAGTTGCTGGGATCCCTCCCAGACCCTCATACCATCTTTTGTGGGTATGGGTTTGGAAAGCGGAAAACCTTTTGGATTAAGGCAGAACACTGACTTAAGTGAGCAGTTCATCACAGATACAGCCAGTTAGACAAAATCAGATTGAACAGGCAACTGACTGCCAACAAGTATACTTTTATATATTTACACCCAAATTTGTATACACACAGTGCTTAAAAAACAGGGAGGGGAAGAAAAAAGGGGGAAAAAAAAGAAAATAAAAGAAAAAAAGAAAAAAAAACCAGCCAGTCCAACAGGTTTATCTTGGTATAATCATCCTTTCTATAGCACAAATTATATGATCCCAGTTTTTACAAAATATTGCCAGCAGAGTCACTGCAAAAAAAGTGCAGATGATATGAAAACGGCTCTTCATCATAGGAGCAATGAATTTTGCAATAGTAGAAACGCACACTAAGATGACAGTCATGAAGGCCAGGATAACATTTATACACTTCCCCAGGAGTACTTTGGCATTAACTGTTTCAGACTGCTGTGCTTGCTGTTCTTGCTGATGGAGCTCCAGTTTGGAAACCCGGGTCTGGCATGATTCCAAGGCTTCCTGGAGACAGAAAATAAGAATTAGGGCAGCCATATTTCCCTTCAACGTTTCCTCACATTTTAGCTGCAGAGCTATCCATCAGCTAGATTAGAAGTGTAATTTATTATAGACTGCTAAAATTTCAATGAACCACCAACTTTTAAAAGAATAAATGCACATATATGTCTGAATGAGTGTGTCACTGCTTAGGCATAATCAAGGCTAACAACAGTGTCCAAAATGTAAGTTTGTTCTTATTTCATGCTTGAGAAAAAGCATCATAACTTTAATGTTCATGACAGTTGTTTCCCATATATACACTGTTGATATAAAATACTAGTAAAGCTGTTGCCACAGCAACTATCACTGCATCAAAACAGCAAGAAAATTAGTTTCTTTGTACATTCTATAGAAAACATTATGGCGGGCTTGCTGTGATATTAATTAAATCTATTTTGCAACATGTAGCACTTGGTTTACACTGCCTCTGTGGTCTACATTAATTTTGCTCTCAAAGCAACCCATCCTACAGTGTTGGGCTTGAGTTCTCTGTGAGATCTGGCCTTCTCCCTGCCAGTGTGAAGACAGTGGAACAACCGGTGGAGATGCTTTTATGGGATTCTTTCCCACATGATCTATTCCACTTCACAATTTGTTCTAAAGAAAGCAGACGTTTCTCTTCTGCTTGAGGATGGAGTAAAAGTGGTCTTTGAGTAAAATGCATCCTAAAGACACTACCCCCGTGCTTGAGCCCTCTCAAAGCAAAACATAGGAAAACTTCCAACTGCTTCACTTATTTGCCAAAATGCCAGCTTTTTGCTGGAGTTGGGATTTGGGCACCACTGTGGAACATGGCGCAAAGCTATAATTTCATGAGACTGATCAACTTGACAGAACCTTTTATCACTGTGGGACAAAGAAAACCAACACTCCAGCATCCCTACTTTCTTGCACACTCTCAAACTCCAGGTATTTTCCTTGCACTAGCAAGGCTGTTCACCTGGTCACACAGTAAGCTGTTTCAAACCAAACATCTGTGTATAAACACCCAGAGATTTATCAGCTTTCCCTTGCTAGGTGAGCTCTTCATTGTTGCAGCAAGTTGAACTGGCTTACCAAGCCAGTCTGGCCAAGGTCACCAAGAGAGTGTGGCACAGTGCCTTACACCAGGCTGCTTCCTTTCGCTGCTCTAGGAATTAGTAACTATGTACAAGATTGTTACTACAGGTCTTAATGGGTGGCACAAAGTCTGTTGTGGTTCAGGCATGCTCTCCACTACACACTGATGAACTTCCCTGTAAATTATCTGTGAACTGACTGTAAATTATCCTCAGATTGTCTTGTGCTGCTTTAGAGAAAGTCCAGCTGGCAAAAGTCTGATAGCTGCAGCTCTGCACTGAGAGGCTGAACATGTCTTTAAAACTATCTGCACATCCTTTAGCGACAGGCTGTTACTCAAAATATCCAGAGCTTAAATCCTTTTACTCTATTTTATCTAATTTTCCAAAGACCCAGAGAGATGGGTTTAAATGAGCCCAACTGTACAGAGATAAAAGAAACAAGGTTGTGTCAACACAGCACTTCATTAAGGAGTCTCTGACACCCTGCTAATGAGTTAGGGAATATTTCACAGTCCTTCTGTTGGACAACTCAGGTTTCATTACATTTTTACATCTTCAAGATGCCTTCACAGAAAGGAGTCATTTTTTTCTTAAATCTGTGAGAGAAGTCTCTTGTTTAAACCTGCAATGAAACCTATGATATGCTTAGATTCAGTACCATCCCTTTCCCACTCTGTTCCCAGGAGCTTCTTAATTCACATTTAGGAAACTGTGATCATCCTGCTGCCTGCACTCTCTCTGTTTAGAAATGTGAGCACAGATGTCTACAGATCAGGTTTTAGGTTCTTTTACCGTGTGAGCCAACACAAAGACAGTCTTTGAGCATTTCTTGGTTGTTCATGAATAGGTAAGGCACAACTGTGTTTTCACCACTTTTCACCACTTCCTCAGACTTTGAGTGGAAATATTATGCATTATGTAAGTGCTTGTATTGTATAAAATATTCAAGTACGTACGTAACTACATGCTGTCAGGACATACTTGTAGACATTATTACTGGTTTTTGATTGAAGTCAGACATGACTACAACTGATCACTAAGGTGAAAACACCCTACAGCTTTGATTATAGACATTGTTGTGACTATGGCTTAAAACTCCTTAATTATAACCGGCAAGTGTACAAGTCTATTTATAAATCAGCTCTCTTACTTTTCACCCTAAGCTCAATTTATAATAAATCTTGCCAGTGATGAAGCTACATATTGGAGAAAGTCTGAGCAAGAAGTTTATGTCAGGACATTGTCAGAAGTGTTATGTCACACAATACAAGGAGCCTTGATTCCTTCCTCCTCTGTGAAAGAAATCAAAACAGGTCACTCATCCAACTACAAGTCTGTGTGGGCCATATCATCAGTTTCAGCAGAAAAAAAATCCTGAATCCAGAGAAAAAAATGGAGACTGTCACTGATTCAATGTGCTGGGTTTTCCCCTTAAAAGAGAGAAAACATGGCCTTACATCTTTCCTCATATTTCTTATTTAAAAATATGCAGAAAAATGCAAGTGTTTCATAGTACAAGATCTCTATAAAATGTTAGAAGATTATGATAAGGAAAAAAAGTACCTGAACATCTCGTGATCGCTCATAGGCCTGATACGCCACCTTCTCCTCTATGCTGGCTAGCTCTTGTTTCAAATTTGCTGTCTCATGTTGATGAAGGTCCGTGAGGTCATTTAACTGGTCTTCCAATCTCTCATATCTTATTAGGAAAAGAAGTCTAAATTTAGTGCCTTCTATTCAAGCAATGCAAATCATGAAAACAATTGCACATTTTAAAAGGCAATTTCTCAGCATACGATGAACTCATCTGACTGGCATTACAAAGCACATATGGAAATCAGTAAAAACTTTGCAAACTTTCCATAAACATTTATTAAGCAATCTGAAAGCCTTTTTTGAGTGTTTCTTACTGGCAGTAGGTGCTAAAAAGCAAATATTTGTACATCACTGGCAAATTATATGAAATATAAACAGTGCCTAAGGATATCCAACCCACATTTTTCACTCTTCATTTAGCCAAGAAGATATGGCTTCATAAGTAAGTTTGAGTTAATAGCTCTCCAGTAATGACAGGAAAAATATGTTCTCTCTCATACACAACTGCAGGGTTCTGCCATTTATGTACAGTCTGTTCTGGCATGTTTCTACATGGTAAAGTAGTTCAAGTAAACCACCAGCAAACTAGAATATTTTTTTTTTTGTGAGATTGTCACTTGATTTAACACACAAACAGGCAAACACTGCAGTCAGCACAAAAATGATGGAGGCAAAATTGTCTAGAAATAGGTAGCAGGAGGCTTGAGATTGTATTGACAGAGAGCTGTAAGAAAAGTACACTCTGCCTTCTCCTGAAACCAAGTCAGAAGTTCGGCAGGCCTTTCATTGTTCATTTCTCCCTATATTACCACATGATATCAAGCCTTTCATTGTATTTCAAGAACTATAAGCAAGGGAGACATGAAATATTGCCCTTCATACCAAGAATCTCCCCTCTGGCATAGTAAAGACTTCAGGAATTGACTGTGACCTTAAACAAGCCATAGGAAAAATGGGATATAGGTACAGCAGGTGAAAGCCCTCTGTAGAACATATCACCCACTTCTCACAGAGTATGATAAAGGAATTAATTGTCATGTAACAAATGCAAGATGAAGTTGTGCTACAGCACTTCAAACTACATCTCCCAGCTGTGTGTTACACCAGGGTACAAGGTGACATTGCATCCACAAGATAGCAATGTGTGTGAGAAGTATTTGGACAAGGTACTCAGGAGTTAAGGGTATACTTATCAGCTGTCAGTCAGTTCTGCTACAGAACTGATTAGCTTTTCTGAGTAACATTAGATGAGAATCCTTCCACCAGCTACAAAACCATTGGCATCTCCTATACGCAGTACTCATATAATTCATATAAAAACTATGACAGAGGAGTTTTCTGACCAGCCTTTGACAAAAGGCAAAGGGAACTACACCATTTGATAGGAAATATAAATATTCTATGTGTATTTTCAGTTGTTGGAAGGAATTAAACATGTTGGTACTAGATATTGATTGGAATTATCTTTTCGTCTTGCTTCTGAAATCTCTCTCTCACACACACACACTTTCCAAATAGTTTCTCTACACATTCAAAAGTCATTTCAAGAGAACAGTTAAAAAGAAAATACCTATATCTTTCCTCTTGTAGCATCTGAGAAATAAAGCCATAGTCTCTTTTAAATTGGGTTTTTAAATTCTCAATATCATCAGCTAATTGGGACTGTGTCTCCTTGATTTCCCTTAGTTCCTCCAAAATCATGGAAAGCTTTCCTTGGCTGTCCAGGGTAGTTGCCACAGCAGGACTAAAGGGAGTATTCCCATTGCTGTCTGCTGATCCAGAGGTCCCACTTGAACATTCATCATCACTAACATATTTCGGTTTGGCAACAATGGTGGCGCTGCCCCCATAGGTTCTAGAACTCGTTTCTGGCCGAAATTCATCCAGGGTATTTTTGAGATGAGCAATGTTGTCTGCGCTTCCAAATTTGTTTCGGATCAGGTTGGCAAACTCTCTAGACTTGCTGAAAACAAAGACAGGTGGTGTCAGAGATACACCCGGCACACCCGACTTGCTGCTCTCTGTTCCGTGCCCAGTGCTACGAGACTTTCCATGCTGAACATCTTTCAAGTTATCTTTGGAAGTATCCTTGGTAGCTTTGGAAGATCCATTTTGTTCAATATCCTTGAGCTTTTTGTGATACTGTTCCAATTTCTTCTGCAGCTGGGCAATGGAGTGGGCAGATTTCTGGTTCTTTTTCTCAAAGACTTGCTTAATGCGCCCAGCCTGTTGCTTGTCTGCACTGTTCACCAGTTTCAAATACTCAGCCACGTTTCCATCTCGAGCTGTTTGTTCAACTTTGATTTGCTCTGTAACCTTGAGGATTTTCTGTTTCAAGCTATCTGCATTGAGTTTGACTTTGTGAAATTCTAGGACCCCATCTGGTACATCAAAGTTCAGGTTGGTATCAGAACCTCCACGGCGGATGTTAAGTGGTAAACTCAGAGTATTCATGTCATGTCTTTCCACCTGAGAGAAAAGAAAAAGGAGTCAATGGAATTTGAGTTCTATTTTTTAAAATCAAACATCCAGTTTACTTTTTCACATATAATTATATCAAGTACATAGTATAAAGTAGCTTATATTAGCAAAGCATAATAAAGTTTTCTTTGAAATTAAGCATCATTTTTCTTGACTTCTACAGGTTAATGAACAGATTTGTCTCTCTTGAAATGAAGATGAATTAGAGAGAAAATTTTCCAGAATACCTTATAGAATCGCTGTAAGCTTTTCAAAATCACTTAAAGTTTTCCACAAAATGAGAATAACCTAGTTAGAAAAGGTTCCTAAATATATTGTTTATTATTAAGAGTTTCAAAGAGACCACGGCTGGTAATCACTCTGTTTTTTTCTCTTAGAAGTGGTCAAACATCAATGGAGATGTAACCAGATTTTTCCCGCTACAGCAATGCTATACTGTTCAGTATATTTTCCCAGGTTTAAAGCCTTTTTTTGATACATCCCATTCAAATTCCTTCCACAATTCTAAGTTTTTGCAAAACTAGCTGAAAGAAAGCTCTTGAAAATTTAGGGTATGCTGCAAGCTGGAAGCAACTGCTGTTTTTTAAAGCAGAGAGCATAGAGAAAGAATTGGCCTGTATTTGACTTTCCAGCTTGATCAAGGTGCTCAACAACTTGATCTGCTGTGCTAATACTGTTTTAATAGGAGGTTCACTGAGGGCGATTTACAGGAAGAAACTCAGGAAAGAAAACTGCATTCGGTCAAGTATAGGATCTGTACACCTTAAACACTCTCCAGAAGAACAACAAAAACAGCTAGGTGACTCAGTCACACCACCAACCACAACAGACCATTTTATCTTTTTCAACAGAAAGGCAAGATAGTCTGATACAAAACATTAAAAGCGTTTCCTTATATGAAGTCAAAGTTATGGGGAAGGCAAGAGAAGAATGATCTAAACAAAACAGCTTTATCCCTATTATCATCTTGGTTTAGCTTGCGTGACAAAGAAAGTGCATTTCATTGGAGCTGCCACAGTGTGAGGTTTGTAGAGACTGCTTAACAAATGCTCTGGCCATAATGGGTTTCCAGAGCTTTGATACCAGAGGGAACCAATATAACTCCTCAGGCAAAACCATTGCAGAAACAAGGCAGAAACTATATTAAAGTATCTCTTGAAGATGCATTTGTGAAAATCTCTTTTCATCTCTAATACTTTATGTTATTTATTTATTTATATCATTTTCCTTATAGATTACCAAGGATTACAGTGATTTTTCTTTTGCTACAGCACCACTCAGGGTACAAACCATCTAACACAAAAATTCATATTCACCAATATCTAAAAAAAAAGGTACTTGAAAAATGCATATTGAAAGCATTCTGGAGTTGACAATTTCTTTTGGAGAATATTGGTTCATTATGACCTTTAAGACTCAGACTCTGTCCCAGGGATTAAACCAGTGCTGTGGCCCAATAGATCTACATTTTATCAGTTTGTTAAAAACAATTGGTATTGATCCAAATGCTCAGTATACAACAAGAATTTCTTGAAACAACCTAAGACATTTTTTAATAAGCTTTGGCACAAAATGATACTGTAATTAGTCACAGAATTGTATACACACACAAAACAGATCCATCACTGATGTCACTCAGAACAAGTTGTACATAACTTCCAGGAATGGGTGGGTCTATATCTAACCTTTACACAGCAGTGTTTACTTCCTCAGTAAAAAATAGTCTAGAAATGTATTGTAATAATTGGATACAAGCCCAAACCAGATCCCTTCTCCCTTATGTCCCCTCCCTCACAGGGCTCTCAATTAGTCAGCCTTCTCTGCCTTCCTGAAACTTCAAGGTCACTAATGCAATACAGATAAAAAGAACAATAGCATTAAGGAATACATCTGCTGAATGCTGCCGTGCTTTTGGACATGAGGACATCTGTTAGCATGGGGCAAATCTGCTCCTGAATAAACCCAATCATAGGGTCAGTTCAAATTCAGTTTAAAGTAAATTTTAGAAAATAATTGTGTTTAAATTCCCAAAACACTTCTAGCACTAGGGCTTTTTACTTACTGAATTGAGAGCTCACTAAGGGTACAAAAAAGTCATATCCAACATATTTTTCTGTCTGATTGCATTTGGACAAAATGGCAGGTGTCCTCTGCCACCATGTTCAAAGGCTGGGTCAAGCAACAGAGGCTCTTGAAATCCTCTGCTGGTGCCATACAGCTTTTTGTTGGGAGGGGATGTGTAGTGTGGGGTGGAGTTATTTCTTTTTTAGGTGGGGGGATAGTTGGTTGGATTTTGTGGGGTTTAGGGTTTTTTGGGGTTTTTTGTTTGTTTATCTTAAATCAGAAGCAAGCAGACAGTGGGAGAGTCAGGTATGTCTAGACAAGCAGCCTTTCACCTTTCTTCTACCTTGATGATCCATTTGTGATTGTTTTATAACTCAGGACCAATGCTACCCCAAGACAACAGATTTCCGTCTTCAAATCCTACCCCAAATCCTTCTTGCTGCAAGTCTCATCCTGTGATGGGAAGAATTAGCTTCACTTCCTGCTGTATTGAAAGCCTCATTCTTAACACTGAGCACAAGACTGCCAGTAGTAGTCTGAGATACTTCCTCATCCCTGCAGGTAGTAGTGCCCTCTCCTGGGATGCAGGCTGAAATCCTCCCAGTGCAGGAGACTGAATAACATCTCCTTCAAACTGTGTGAGTGCTCTTCCAGCTATGCTACAGGAAGAAATGAGGAATGCCATCCATGCCATTGCTCCTTCTGTGCCTCCTGGGTCCCCAGCATCTCCCAGGGCAACCAAGCTGTTAATAATAAAGAAGTTGTTGAGAGACTGTTTTTGGGTTTTGGGGTTTTTTTTGAGATTTTCAATGTGGTTGCTGAGAGAAAAATATGTTTACATACAGCAGCAGGCCCAACAGTTAAAATGGAAGAGCCATCCTTTTGGAAGTGAGAAGCACTTTAAGAAAAAAGAATCATTGTACATGTCTCATATTATGGCAATTCACAGGGAGCTGGGCCTTAGCAGTAGATGAGAAGAAGCAGTCCTGAAAATGTGGTACCACTAGGAAGAGAGGAAGTCAAAGCACTAGCCCATAGTCTGAGGAAATACTAGAGACATGCCCTCAATCTGTCTTCTAGGAAAAAACAGGGAAAAAAGCAATTTGTATATGGTCCTGGGATAGCCATAGCTGAAGTTAGCCTGAAAAAAGACACCAGGGTCTTGGAGAGAGACCACTGCACTTTATGCAGCAGTTCACAAACACACTTCACCTCAACCCAGTTGAGAACTAATAGTAATGTTTGTGCTGCTGAAAGATGAGCTTTTATGAACAGTGAATATGAGCTTTTAAGAACAGTATCACAGATGACAAGATAGGTAACTCTCAGAGACAAAGCCCCAGTCCCCGCTTTTCCAGGGAGCCAAGATCTCCAGCTGTCTGACCATGCTATCCATGTCCAGAGCTTCAGAATGGACAGCAAAATCACTTCTTGGTGCAATGAACACAGGTGCAGTGCTAGGAACCCTTCACTGCACATGAATTGTCAGGTTTACTTTCTGTCTTAAATGTAAAGTGGATTGCTGCCATTCAAAAAGAAGCATTCAGAGCACACCAGTCATTTGAAAACCCAATCATGGAAGCAAGGGTAGGGATTTCATTGGCATCTTAATGATGCACATGTTTCTTCACTTACTGTCTGCAAAAGCAGTACCAAGGTCAGACTTGCAGGCCATGCTATCAATGAGCCCAGAGCACAGTAGCACCCATGTTCCCCAATGCCACAGGCAAGACTATTGGAAAGAGATTCCACATGGACAGGATCTGATGAAAGGTGAAAATGCCGTGTTTAATGGCCTATAGAGATCAGTCATTTAATCCTCCTATTGGAAAATATAAAGCAGACCTAAAAGACCTTATTTCTTCCCCACAGATCCTGGATGGGATCCATCTGGGAGAAAAAATCCACAGTGTATAGAGCACAAAGAGCATGCAGCCCACCCTAGTGCAACCCACATCCCATGGCTGCTCAGATGAATCACATGCTGTGTTCCACTGACTGTGCCAAAGGCTCTACTAACAAGTGAGAGACAAGCCCTCTATGTTAAAGGTATCAAACTGAACTCTACTCTTTAGGCCATAGATTTCTTTTATGCTCTTTTAAAAAGTACCTTTAAAAAGCGTAGAGGAAAAAAAAAAGCATTTACAAGACAAATGCATATATGCATCAGGCTCCAGAAGGCCCACCCCTTTGGGTTGCCTCACCACAGAAACAAACCATAAAGACATAAAATGATCTACTTATTTAAATAGGCTCAGTTTACAGGTATTTCCTTCTTGTTCTTTCTCTAAAAAACCTCATTACCATCACCAGTCATAGCTGTGCAAGCTAAACAAAAGCTTATGATGGCAATTTAAGTCTATCTTGAAAGAGGTTCTGATGAATGCTTAGAAACAGAATCCCGTAAGAAACATACAAAATAGGATTAAGGCAGCCTCACAGCTTTTAGAATAGCAACAAAAGTCATCAGGAACAATTCTCTTTTTATCAGAAATATGCATATGCCAGCAGCACGGGTGTTCCAATGGGTAAAAGAACATGCAGATGGAGTTTTAGTAAGTTTTCAGTATATTCCAAAGCAAAAATGTATTTGAGGAGAGACTTTCACTATCTCTTTCAAGTTCACTGTTCCTTCTAAAATCCACATGAGAATCCTTCATGGAAGTCTTAAAATAGAACTAAATCATCATAAAATATTTTAAGTTATGTAAAATCAGCCCCCAACATTTTTGTACAGTGTGTTACAGCAAAATACCTTCTGTTTGTGTTTCTTTACAGAGCTACTTAATAGTAATATCTAGAAGTACCTATACTCGGAATACCATGCAAATAATCATGCAGGGGGTTGAGAGTATATGGGAATGGAGGGAGTCAGCAAAACATGTTTCTACTTTTTACTGGGGTAATAGAACATCCTGGCTGAT